AACTAGAACTAGAAGCGTTAATATGGGCAATGCATTGTATGGGTTTGGGTATATTATCTGACATAACAAAAAAAGTTAGTTTAAAATCTTTACGAAAACATGGATTACATTTCAAATTATATAAAAAAAAAGATTCTCTAACAAAATCTCCTTTTCTGTTCTTTTTTTTTTTGCCAAAATTGTCTATTAAGAGTGTTTTTTTACCTATCAATCCAACTACAGTATATAACACATGAACATTTTGGCGAATATGGCATATGGACACGTTTCACCGTAATGCTTTGTGAGAAATTTGACATAAAACCCTAATTAGTGGATCTCAATGCCAATTTAGGGTTTATCCAAAAGCTGCCATAAGCGATTTATATGTTTGATTAGTTCCAACAAACAAACCGTTATAATAAACACACGAGTCGAACAAATCTTAAGTGGGTCCCTAATAAATGAGTCATAATACCAAATTAGGGTTTATCCAAAAGCTGCCATTAGCAATTAATTCCAACAAACAAACCGTTATAATGAGCATACGAGTCAAACAAATATTAAGTGGGTCCCTAATAAGTGAGTCATAATGCCAAATTAGGGTTTATCCAAAAGCTGCCATTAGCGGTTTATCTGTTCGATTAATTCCAATAAACAAACCGTTATAATGAGCACACGAGTCAAACAAATATTAAATGGGTCTCTAATAAGTGAGTCCCAATACCAAATTAGGGTTTATCCAAAAGCTGTCATAAGCGATTTATCTGTTCGATTAGTTCCAACAAAATGAACACACGAGTCGAACAAATATTAAATATAAACGTACAAAAAGACATTTACCACAACTGTAACAAACACACTTTTGCAACTAAAATGATATCAACTAAAAAGTAAAAACCATCAAACTACACCAAAGAAAATTTGTCGGCAATCGAATCCGTCATCTCCAATATTTAGTGATTTTTTTTTGCTTTTGTTGGCGAAGATTTTTTGTCGCCATAGAGTTTTATATAGGCATATGTACAAAAGACCGTTATCTTGAATACACGAGTCGAACAAATATTAAATACATTTGTACAAAAAAAACATTTACATCATCTCCAATTTTAATGCTTTATTTTCAGAAAGATAAATTTAAATGTTTTCAACCACAATATACAAATTTGAGAAAATTGTGATGTTTTTAATATAATTTTTTGTGCGACTTTGTAAAAAAAAAGTGCAATGATGCTTAACCATTGCTAGAACCGTTGATATTAGATACTCACAGTGACATGTATTAGAAACAGTCGATAGTTTGGGTAAAACAACTAAATCGTACTTAAAATAACTAGCAGAACTTAAGTTAGATATATTGTAGATATATATTGTATGAGACACATGTCGATAAATTACTTCCACTTCCTGTATTAGTTAGAATTGTTTTCAATATATTTCTTTTATGATTCTGTATATTTTTATACGATTTTCAGTTTCAGCAGTTCTTGCATGTAACGTACATTTGGTTTTCAGAATCCAATATATGGACGTTGAGACAGCAAAAAAGTTGTGAAGAACCGAAGTCACTGTGCTCAAATGTAACGATCGGTTATTTTTCTTCCATTTGTTGCACTTCATTATCATGCGAGATTTTTCTTAATGGGCGTTTCGATTTTCGAGAAAGAAAGAAAAAAAGTTGCTATTATGTCGAGGATGAGCAACGTCGATTTACATGTGAATGCTAATTTTTTATTTTCTTTTAATCTCATTAAGAATAGATTATGATTATTTGAGAAAAAGCATACATTTTGTTTTCTTCCATCGTTAATATCAACCATATCACGTGTTTAATGTAGTCTCAAGTTTCTAAAGCTATTATAATCGTTTTACTTAATAAAAGGGAAATTCTCTGAAATCTATCATTTAATTTTTTATTCCAATTTCTTTTAATAATAACAAAAAGTTAACAAAAAATGATTCAAAATTTATTTTAAATGAAAGACATATAAAATCTAATTTGGAAAAATATATTTATTTAATTTTAAGTGTAATTTTTTTAGGATAGCAAATGTTTTCAAAAAATAACCTAAAGAAGTTGTTAAAAAAAAACAAATGTTTTCAAAAAATAATTTGTGCTACTTTTGGAAAACAAACTTAGAATTATCTTATCGTTCGATTCTAATAAGTAAACCGACATAATAGACACACGAGTCGAACAAGTATTAAATATATAAGTACAAAAAAATATTTATCTTGGATAAAGTGCACATACACAAATCATTTTAAAGCGAACATAATACAAAAAAAAGTTCTAGGCCAACACATGATTTGCTAAAAACTGGCTCAAAAGCTGTCATAAAACGGATTATCTTTCTCTCGATTCCAACAAGTAAACCGTTATAATTAAACACACGAAACGAACAAATATTAAATACATCGATACAAAAAAGATCTTTATCTCGACTGGATAAACCGCTCGCACACAAATCATTTTAAAGGGAACAAAATACACAACAAGATTTGTCAGCAATCGAATCACACTATCTCCATTAAGTAAACCGTTATAATTAGACACACGAGTCGAACAAATATTAAATATATCGAGACAAAAAAGATCTTTCTCTCGATTGGATAAACCGCACGTACACAAATCATTTTGAAGCGAGCAAAATACACAAAAAGTTTTGTCGGCAATCAAATCATCTCCAATCTTTAATGAAATATAGCAAATATTTTTTGACCGCAATATAATTTTTTAGAATTTTAAATACATTCATAAAAAACCGTTATCATAAACACACGAGTCGATCAAGTATCAAATACAAGCATACAAAAAGAAACATTTTGGTTGCAAGGGGCACAAATTTGCAACCAAAACGATATCAATTGAAAGCAAGCAAACTACACCGAACTTTTTTTGTCCGCAATTAAATTACATCGTATCAAATCATTAATGAATTTTTTTTTTTGCATTTAGCTCGAATGTAATGTGTTTGTGTGAGTATATTGTAATGTGTTTTAGTTTTTCTTTTTTGAGTTACTAAACTATAGCTGAAATCGCTAGTAGAACTTAATTTTGATAGCTTTAATTACAAACAAACAAAAACTTAATGTTGATATATTGCGTCAGACAACTTTTTGATAGATTCCTTTGAGTTCTGCTATCGACATTGTTTATTATGATAAATGAATACTGCTTTCTTCACGATTTTCAGCTGCAGCTCTTACATGTAACGTAAACTTGTTTAAAGAATCCGAGATACGGACGCAGAGACGAAGAACAAAAGTTGTGAAGAACCAGTGTCATTTTGCTCAAAATGTAACGATCGCTTGATTTTATTCCATTTGTTAAAACATCACTAGAACACGAGATTTTTTCTTAATGTGAGTTTCGACTTTCGAGAAAGAAAGAAAAAAAAAGTTGCTGTTTTAGCAAAATATTAATAATTGTCTTAAAAGGAAGACAAGCGTGAATAAGTAAAGAGTACTGTTGCCGTAGCATTAAAGCGGCAACGCGCCTCCTCATACGACGAGCTCGTCACAGCGAATAAAAACATTCCACGTGTCCTTCTATATAGCGCGTGAGAGACAGTCTCTACGAGAGAGAGTGTGGTTAGTAAAAGGAATTTGCCAATGAAAAATTAATAAAGTAAGGATCAAAATTAAATAAACAGAAATAAACAAAAACAAAAAAAAAATTAAAAGCTGGGGAAAGTAAATGGGAAACGACGACTGACTCTCGTCTTCTTTCTTCTCCTTCGTCTTCTTCCTCTTCCTCGTTCGCTTTTTCTCTCCATAAATTGCCCATTTTTTTCACCCTCTCGATTCATAATTGTGATCGGAGGTTAAACGTTTCTCAAGGTTTCCGATTTCATAAGCTCGGGTTCGTAATTTTCTCGAATCGCTTTTTTAGTCACTATCTTCTTCTTCTTCTCTTCGATCCTTTTTACTCATTCAGTGATAAATAGCCGTTGTTTCATGTATATCGACTGTTTTATTGAGCTTAGAAAACTCTAGGTAAACCCTAATTTCTTCTTCCACCGTATTTGAGTAATCGGATCTGTGTTTCACTTTGTGCTCTTCACTTTTTCTTTTCTGGGTTTTGAATTCGGAGCCAGTGTCTCTTTTCAATTCTCGAAATGAAAATTTGTTTTCTGAAGTCATGATCTGTAGCTACAAACTTTCGATTTTTTAGTTTCCATATAATGGCTATGGTTTTCGCTAATTTATTGAGCAATTAAAATTCGAATCTACTAGTAAAGATTTAACCTAGATTGTGGGCTTGCTTTCTTCGTTTCACTAGCTAATTTCTCTCAATTTAGAGCGTGCATGGTTTAGAGAGTTTTAAATTACATTTCAAGTGTGTCATTCTATAACAAAATCTCAAGCTTCTTTTAAAACCTCAACATTTTTGAAAATACAGTTAAAAAGAAAAGCAGGTTGTTGATTTAGTAAGAACATTTTACATTGATTGAGTGATGACAAACACTATTTGCTCTTGGTGTGTTGCCTTGTGTCATCTTTTAGTTTAAAGATCTTATCTTTATGTGTGTGTCCTTATTGCAGATTGTTCAAAGAATAGGAGATTGTGAAGATGCTTGACGGAGCAAATTTCAACGTCATGGCTACTGGGAATCACCACAACAACGACAACGACTACTATGCTTTCACTCAAGTGTTCTATCAAAAGCTCAACGAAGGCTCCAACATGTCAATGGAGAGTATGCAGACGAGCAACGCTGGAGGCTCTGTGTCAATGTCTGTGGACAACAGCAGCGTTGGCTCCACCGACGCTCTTATCGGCCACCATGGTTTGAATCCAATGCATGGCGGCGGCTACTCCTTCTCTGTTGGCCAAAGTGTGTTTCGTCCCCGGAAAGTTACACACGCTCTGAACGATGATGCCTTAGCTCAAGCACTGATGGACAGTAGGTATCCAACTGAAGGACTGGCCAACTATGAAGAGTGGACTATTGATCTGAGGAATCTCTACATGAGACCTCCTTTTTCTCAAGGAGATTTTGGGAAGCTGTACAAAGGGATTTACAATGGAGAGGATGTAGCTACAACATCCTTGAGAGGCCTGAGAACAGTCTTGAGAAGGCACAGTTCATGGAGCAACAGTTTCAGCAAGAAGTGAGTATGCTTGCGAATCTGAAGCATCAGAACATCGTGAGGTTCATTGGTGTCGCAAGCCGATGGTTTGGTGTATAGTGACTGAGTACGCTAAAGGAGGCTCTGTGAGGCAGTTCTTGACTAAGAGGCAGAACCGGGCCGTGCCTTTGAAGCTAGCGGTTAAGCAGGCGCTTGATGTTGCTAGGGGTATGGCTTATGTCCATGGACGTAACTTCATTCACAGGGATCTCAAGTCTGATAACCTTCTCATCTCAGCTGATAAGTCCATCAAGATTGCTGATTTTGGGGTTGCAAGAATCGAAGTTAAGACCGAAGGAATGACTCCTGAAACCGGAACTTACCGGTGGATGGCTCCGTAAGTTTCCATAACCGGATTCTTGATTTTTCTTGATTAGTTTTTATCATTTCTTGTTGATAGATTTATGTTTTTTTGTGTTGGTGGATGCAGAGAGATGATACAGCATAGGGCCTACAATCAGAAAGTGGATGTGTACAGTTTCGGGATTGTGCTCTGGGAGCTGATCACAGGACTGTTGCCGTTCCAGAACATGACAGCTGTGCAGGCAGCGTTTGCGGTTGTGAACCGCGGAGTGCGTCCGACGGTGCCGAGCGATTGTCTTCCGGTGCTGAGTGACATTATGACTCGTTGCTGGGATGCGAATCCTGAGGTGCGTCCATGTTTTGTGGAGGTGGTGAGTCTGCTTGAAGCTGCAGAGATAGAGATAATGACGACAGCGAGAAAAGCCCGTTTCAGATGTTGCATGACTCAGCCAATGACGATTGACTAAAAACATAAAAAAAGTCTGCAAGAAAATAAACAAGAGAGAAGTGAAGAAAAGATATAAGAAAAAAAGGGCTTTTTTTAGAGTTTTTTTTAAGTTTGTGTGTCTGAGTCTGCGTCTGTGTTGTGTTTGTGTATCTATATAAAATATGAATGTATTTTGTTTTCCTCAAGATAGCAGAATTTAAGTAACCATCCCTCACCACCATTTTAGACTTGTTGATTTTCTAGCTTTTTGTTTCCTTTTGTGTTAATTAAGAAGAAAACCTAAAAGAAGAAACTTGTCTCTTTGTGTTCGAACTTAAAATGCCATCTCCAACTTTAAACTGAAAAAATAATATAGAGTTATGGATCTATTTTCAGAATAATTCCATTTATTGTCCATTTAAACTTTACTATAATCTTTTCAGAGTGTGGGATTGATTCATGTTGTGCGAGAAATTCTTTTGGAGTTGAAGTGTGGAATTGGCCATTAGATCATCTCTTTGTGGTTTATTTCCTTAAAGGGCCCTTACTTTTATTGGGCCGGGTCTAGATCCACGCTTGGAAAACTAACAAATTGCAAGTATTTCCCAAAAGCAGTTTTCAATTATGTCTATATTTGCTATTATTGAAGATGGCCCCATAGTTAAGTTTAGTGCAATAACCCCCAATATGTAACCAATTCACGAGTTTAACCACATAGATTGACAAATTTTTGCTTATTAACTGTCTTTTACTAGAAGTGTGATACTTCTCTTCATCACTACTACTACTACTATGTTTTGTCCCACAAAACGTAATGGGGAAGGTCAAGAGCTAAAATCCGATACAAAGTGGACTGAATTGTGACATCAGAAAAACCACTTCACTTTCACTTGTTTCCTACGGTATGATCCCATTAGAGCTGTACAACTTCGTCGTTAAGGTGATGTTATATGCTCTCTTCCATTACTCCGTGCCTCGAAACCTGGACAAATTGCAAAACAGAGGAGTTTGAAGATTTCGGTTGTGTAGGGAACAAGTATTATATAATTCGAGCCAGAAAAGGAATTGAAGATGGACCTTGATTGGTCTTGAATAGAACATTGTGTTGCTCAGAGCTATTGCTTTGTTAACTGACTCCATCGTAGCAAAAGTCACAGCAGCAGCACTAGCAAAAAAAGAAGATTTCAGAAGGATGATTTCTTGCTTGTGTGTGTGATCTCTTGCAACGAAGAAGAGAGGATTTTGGTTTTTACCCTTTTGGATGCTGAGTTACTGGATCAGTTACAATTTCAACGTTCTCGACAGCTCCACACTTGCTGAATAACATTGATATGGCTTCTTTCCTCGCTGCATAGTGTACCTGATAAGTTCATGGAGAAGTTACTTCGTTTAGTTCTAGATTCTACCATCATCCACAAAAGCAATTTTAAGAAAAATATCAGAGGGAGCCCTGTAGGATTACGTTAGTAACATGGATGCTTCTTGATTCTGTGACGTCTTCTTGATTCTGCAATTCGCCTGCACAGAAGAATTTGATCAAGTGAAACGAGGCAAGACAGTCAGAAAAGTTAAGCAGGCGATGAGTTATTAGCTGTTTCCAAAACGTAGAGTTTACATACCAGATTGTGGTGAGCTTTTGAGTTCTCCAACTTTCTGTTTCTTCAGCTGCTTCGCTTGACTAATCTGGACTTCGAGTTGTTGCAGCTTTTGTTTCATGTTCAGTATTTCCTGACGAAAGAAATAACATAACATCATTTGAGATTGTGTGGAATCTAAAGATTCACATGAATGGCAGCAATAAAGTATAACTATCATATAATAGCACATCACGTACCGAAAAAATATCTGGCTTTGCAGACTGATTGGAGAGCAGGTTTGGCTTTTCAACGTCCTCTTTAGCTTGTTTACACTGAAGAACACTGTTAAGTTCACTAACTGAATCATCTCCTGCGCTGGGGTTGATGATGCCATAACGCCTCTTTCTGTTGAGATTATAGGCTATATGAGGTTCAGTGTATGTAATAGCTCCACTCTCTAGCTGCCTAGCTTTACGGGACTGGTTAACTCCGAGCCTGTAACCGACTGCAGGAACTTTTCTTTGAAATGCCTCGCTACGCTGTTCATTATACGCTGCAGGAAACGCTGGTCCATGCTGCAGAAACGCTTTGTTTTCATCTGATTGAATCCTAAACTTGGGCAATGTGGTGTATTCATTGTCAAGAACAAGCTTAGAACTTGGTCGGCTCAAACGATCCCAAACACTAACATGAGGCTTCATTTCCTGGGGCGAAGCTACATCGCGAGATCTTGCAGATTGAGAAGACGTCTGCCTCCTTTCTCTCTCTGGAAAGCTTAGGCGCTTCTGTATATTCCCACTCCTTTTATCCGTCGACTGGGTTTTGCATATGTGCAAGGGTCAAGTCAGAGATAGAAATTGGATAAAGGAATTGAAAAAAACACAACTCAGAGCCAGAAATTTAAACTTCTAACCTTTTCATACTTATCATGATTCCTACGGTATGGATGCTTAGTGGCTGAAACGACAACGGAACGCAGTATCTTTCTAGTGTAGTTAACACCAGCCAAGTTCCAATCATCTTTCTCTTTACGCTGTGCTCTTTTACAAGGGCTATTAATGAGCTCTTGTCGTAACGTCCTCAGGTTTTTAACTTTTGGTGACGCATGAGTCTCAACGTCTTCTCCTTCAGTAGATGATATCAGCTTTTCCTGCAATGCCATTCACATCAAGACTATGCGCCCAAGAAACTGATACAGCATTCAAACATATGAAGAAAGAAACAGTTGTTTTAGTCTTACGTTCATCCAATTAGTAGCTTTGTGGTCATAGTCATTGTGACCTCTGGCGCTTGAACCTTGTTCGATTAGAGTATCATCATCATGAGAACCAAAGTCAACATCAGTCTTCTGTTCAGAAGCGGAATTTTCTTGTTTACCTTGAGAGAAGTCCTTCAAAAGAAGCTCCCATAAGCTGAAAATGAAGAAACACATATTGAAAATGTAACTTATACTTTCTTAGCATCCTTATTATGTATCAAGCTAACAAAAGAAGGAGGATTCAGAAAGCGAACCAGGCAACAAATTCGCCAGATTTCTCCCCAAGAAATGCCTCCAAATAGTCTCTTGCCTGTCTCTGACTCTTCCCGTTACAAACAATCACCGTAATATACTCCTGAAACAAGCTGATTCATCAGTAAAACACGAAATCCCCCAAAATCATCGCACAAAATCAAGCATCAACCAGCAATCTCAACTCTCAGAGAATCAGATATACAAAATCAACAAGACGAAATCAGTCCAAACAAAGCAATCAACCTTATAACGAGTCACCGCGCTTGCTACTACACTATCGTCGACGATGTTTTCCATCGAGTAACCAAAAAAATCAAGGGGAAAAGAAGAACATAGGCACCAGTACAAAATCCATTGCACGAAATCAACATAAACGAGAGAGACGACGAAGATTAAACTCTATGTTACTTCTCCGAGTAAACCACGGATTTCGAAAACAAAAACCATAGGAATCATCTACAAACCAGACGAACAGAATCAAAGAGGAAGTAAGATAACGAACAGTAAGGACGTCGTCGTCGGAGTAATCGTCGGAGAAGAGAGGAAGCATATCGGAGACGATAGCTCTCAGTCGAAAAGCGGACTCCGATTCTCTCGGCATCGGGAATGTTAGTGAATCTACTCCTTCAAGCATCTTCGTATCACTGGAGTTGCAACTCTCGCCGCCTGGGATTCTCGGATTATCGTTCGTCGCCGGTGAATTGGAGAGGAAGCGAGCCCAAGCTTCTGAGAAATTGAAAAGAATGAGTAACACTATTCACCACACTGATGTTAT